CGAAACTTCAACACTCCATTTGCTATCAAAGGAAATAACTATTCATTTCTTTAAAAGGTATAGATTTTTTTTTAGTTACTAACATCAGAGGTGTGGTGGGAACCACATGTGTTCACTGCGAAGGAACTGGATAAAGTGATACATGTGAAGCACTGCGAAGGGACCGGATGTAGTGATACATGTGAAGCAAGCTTAAGTTAGTGTTTTAGAGCTGGCTACCCACGGAATCCAGCGTATTTGTTTCCGACTGCCGACGTGCTGCATGTTAGACACGTGTGCGGCCGTGTTTATCATGATCGAGGATGTTCAGTCGGTTTGATTATAGCACCGGATTTCCTGGGCAATCTCATTTTTGGACAAAGGATGCAATATCTTTGTGTAAAAAGTCTGTATATACAGGAAACAGCCCTATAATTGTAAAAAAAAGTTTGTACACAAACAATACTTACGTGAGCCCTCCCATCTTCTTGGGTGTAATTGATACCAGCTTCTGGTCAGGTCTGCTAGCTTCCCGATTAATTAATTTCGGCTCGGAAACCTCTCCCAGCGGTTCCACGTGAGTAATTTTGTAGACTGGGTGCCGCCTTAAAACTGCCAACCCACATAATCAGGCCCACGCAAAATGACAGAATCCAGATGTAGAGCATATCAACACGTCCACGCAGAATAACAGAATCCAGATGTAGAGCATATCAACACGTCCACGCAGAATGACAGAATCCAGATGTAGAGCATATCAACACGTCCACGCAGAATAACAGAATCCAGATGTTGAATCAGATCAATGAGCCAGTGATTTGCCCAATCGATAGTGATACGGTTATATATCCTGCCGCGTTCTCAAACTAATCTTAAAACGTCAAAACCTTGTATACCTAACCCTAACCCTAACCCTAACCCTAACCCCCTAACCCTAACCCCCTAACCCTAACCCTTAACCCTAACCCCCTAACCCTAAACCCTAACCCCCTAACCCTAGCAATTCTAAAACTGAAGTTGACTCCAAAGTTCCTGTCAGAAATGTCTTAAAAATAAGCGAAAATATGCCAGGACACACAACAGATTGTTGTATGTACTCTCTACCAGGTGTACATGGGTAAAACATGAAATTCTACGGCAGAAAAATATATAAATTCTTACCTCATTTCTGATGCACGGCTAGCGGCGGCTGTCACCTCCGGAATGTGAAGTTCTCTGGCGGGAACTTTTCTGGCAATAGAACGTGGATCGTGATTGGTGCGTCTAACGTGGATCGTGATAGGTGCGCCTAATTTGGACTATTACATTTTGCTATTGAGGTGAAATCAAATAGGCAATGATTTCACGTTCTTATCATTTGGCGGTATTTTCAGAATATTTGACTTGAAATGCATACACAAATTATATATCATTACATACTCAGTACTTCGGAGATTCTTTTCATATCTTTGTCGGTCAAGAATGGAAAAAGGAAAGGAGAAACAGTACACCCCCACCCTGCAGTCTGTTAATGTTTTAGCATTATGGCCTGTTCTATATTTTTCGTTGGTGTCGGGTAAGAAGATATTTTAAAACTATTTAGAACAGAGCATTTTATGGACACTTTAAAAACAATCGTCGTCTGTTTAGGCTGTTTAGGCTCATTTGTTCACGGACCTCTGATGACCACGTTACAGACGAGTTCATTTCGTGTCGGTGGAGTGAATCCATCCATCCATCCACCCCGTCCACCCCCAGTTTAGAATGGTCGGTCTCACGCCACTCTGAGAAAGGGGACGCTCCATTTCCATTCAACAGGGGCGCAAACCCACTGTCGGGGACGGTTCAGTAAGTATCTGGGGGCTCTTTTAAAGCCGGTTTCTGCAAAATTGTCTCCTTCTACTTTTGTGGTCACAATTTCAGTAAAAAATGCAATAATTTCAATTATGATTTTAATAGCATTGATGTCTACGGCCAATGATGTATTACTAAGTGAATTAAAATATATATAGTGTATCATAAATATTGGATGATAAACGTTGTGGTAACTGTATGAAATCTGAATGTAATTGTTGTTCTTTACCAGGCTCAGTGAAGGATTACACGTAGTGAATGTAAATACTGTAAGAGAAAGCACGTAAAGAGCCTTCCCTGCACATAAAGACTGTATTTATCATTGCAACATTACAGCAAGAATCTCAAATCCACCCAGAAAACTCAAGTCAAATTATTCCTATACAACATGCAATATGAAACAAACGATTTGATTGACAGAACTAAATCTTGGGTCTAACTATGACACAAGTTTGAACTGCAATTTCCAAGTCAAAAAATTGGACTAATACCTATATTTTTGTCTGTACACGTTTAACTCCAGTCTTTGTCAAGGACTGAGCAATCCCCACTTCCGTGATGTCACGTTACTAGTATGTGTGACTCAGTGAGCAGTGGATCGTTGCAGGAAATCTGTGGCGCCCTCAGAGTGTCTCTGTTAAAAGTGACGTTTGTAATCCCCTGATGTAGATGGCCTCTTTATATTACACCTTGTGCAAAGATGACGGGATGCAACAGACTTTCTCCACTGCTCACGGAGTCAGGTGGATTGCTCATTCCTTGACAAAGACTGGAGTTGTACAGTCGAAAGTCTCTTGGAAACTGCTGTTCAAACTTGTACCAACACAGATGAACTTGGATATATGAACTATTGCAGACTTTATAATCTCTATGGCTCTTCATCACAGCTGCGACACACATACAAGAACAAGTGTAACTGGTGTCACTAACGGACTAAACAAAACTCTGAACTGTTACGCGTAGTTCCTTCCCTTCCTTACTACATGTATTTGGCATTGACTTTGATAAGCCACCAGCAGCTTAGGAATATCACAAAGTCTGACAAAATACTCATAACCTTATCTTAAATCATACACTAGCCTGACTAAATCTGCGCTCCTAGCGGCCGGCCCGGTATTACACCAACTGCCCCCCAGGGCAGATTTAGTCAGGCTAAATTATACACCAAGGACATGATACAGGCTGTATTCAGATCAGGTCATCCTCGTGGAACAAGTTACAGTCCCCAGACCATTACCTCCTCTTCTACCACTTTCCAGATTGTCAGATTCGGTCGTCCGCTGATGCTGTTTGTATCCCGTTGGCAGAGGAGTATTTTGGCGACCATCTCATGGCGTACCAGTCATGCCCGGCAGGTGCCAGACATTGGTTCTGGATGTTATCATTATGTTATTATTACCCTTCAACACACAACCAAAGCTCACTCCCCATGCAGAACAGTGCTCATGTGGCAAAAGTAATGTACAATATCATGGAGGAATCTCAAGACTGTTGGCTGATCTTGGCTCGCTGTCAGCAGATATCTAACATCATACATCAATAATACTGTAGGTGGGAAATTTGGCACACGCACAAACTGACTTTCGTTCACTTCAAAAATCAACATCCTGATACAGCGCAGATTGTATTAAAACATAGCCTGGTACCCAGCCTTGTTAGCTTTAGTCCGCTACCCAAGATAGCGGACTAAAGCTAACAAGGCTGGATACCAGGCTAATTAAAACAGACTATAATTAAACACAGTGAGGTCAGCTACAAACCAAATTCATTCCCAAGTTTTCAACTTTTTTTTCCTCAAAGTTGATGACAACAAACTGAATCCAACTGATTTAATTTTTATTACATTAATCAAATTAATTCTGAAAACAAAATTTGTCTCATAAAACCACCATATATGTAAACCATATAATATATCTGAGATCTGGGAAGTTGATATGGGTAATCTTTTTATTTGTTTCTGATCCATTTAAATCCGGATACATCATTCTGCACTTTTGTGCACACAAATTTGGAGCTGTGCACCTAAAGTTTGACTATTGTGTCTTGCTAATAATATGTACTTTTTTTTTACATAATGAATGGTACAGTTAAGTGTGTATGCGGCATATTCTTCACATCCAAGATCAAGGATCAAGGAAGTATAAGTTAAAATGTACTTTTGTGTCTCATTTCTTTATTCTGTTAATAAGACTCTTAAAAATGAGAAAACAGGTTATTAACTGCTATATACTAGAGTTTTGTAATGTTTTAAAGAGTTGAAATATAGAAGTGCATGTTCTCTCATTATATACTACATTATTGATGAGAACTAGAAACTTTTACATAACTTAGGTACATAGAAAAGCTAAGAAATGGAAATGCTAGACTGCATTGCACTATGGTACAGTCGACCACCATATACTCCTCAACCATCCACCTGAGTTCGTAAATACTGTAAACCTTTTCATTGCGGCGAAAATGGCAGCTTTTTCTAAAAGCAGTTAATTGTTTGTTGGTGAGGGGTAAGAAGATTTATAACTATTTGGAACGGAGAATTTTTGGACACTTTAGAAAAACGATCGTCATCTGTTAGAATGTTCAGGCTTATTTGTTCACGGACCTCTGATGACCACGTTACAGTAGCCTGCAGGTATCCAGCCTCGTTAGATTTAGTCCGCTACGCAAGATCCACTTCCCGCGGGTTACAGTTCATTTCATATCACTACGGTAATTACGTAAATCCATAATCCACCCACCCATCCACCCAAATCCAAACACCCACCCATCCCTCCATCCATTCACTCACCCACCCACATGTTCACAAGGAAATAAGGGTAGCCCCTACAACTGCAACAGCCCCAGCCTGATACTGCCAAGGGGAAGTTTACGCCTGTCAGATTTACCCCCCCCCTCTCACGGAGACCCACTGGATCTGACAATTACCTTCAAGATCTGACTCAACTCTAGAATAAACTTGGAGACAGCCTAGTCCTGCGCTTACGGTGGGCCTTAGCCTCAGACATTTGCCACACCCAAACAATAAACCCTAACCCTTACCCTTACCCTCAAGGTACTCCATATCCTCACAAGTGTGCAGATCACTAAAATGTCTGCTGGTTGTGTAATAGCATCTCTGTTTTCATTCACTTTCCTTTCAGGTAAAATACAATGTTTCATGTAAGCAGATATTATAAAGAATGACACAAGGCTTCATTTTTACACATACATGTACTCAAATAATCATCACATAACTACTACATTCAAGTATGCTAATAATATGTAATATCAAATGTTCTGCAATCAATAGGCAGACATTCATACATACATATAGTTATCAGTAAATTCAATCATGTATATGATTGGGAATTATGACAATACATGTACATTCATTCACAAATTTGACACTGATTTCAAAGTACATTTCATTTAAATACATTACAGCAAGTAACATGTAGCTATTTCTTATGGTACAAAGTCTCAAACAATGATTCCCCACAGCTCTCATGTTATCCATAGTAATAGTGGCTATGATAGCCACTGGGCCAGCAATATTAGACCACAGCAAGTAAATGTTATGGATAACATCCTGCCCAGACTCCAGATTTAATGCGATAGGGAAAAAAAAAAACAAGGCGAGAATTAAAAAAACAAGATTCCTACATTTTCAAATGTTGAGATTGTAAACATCGTTAAGGCCACACAAATTTAATTTGTTGTTTCTCGGATCGCCCTGTCCATTTTTTTCTGATTTGCAAAAAAAATAAAAATTTTTAGGTTCTATATTTACTGCAAAATGCTCACTGAAAGAGTCCTTTTCTTCCTAGTTCTTAAGTTTTTCAATGTAATAATGCAATTTTGTTTCATTAGAAGTTCAAAATCTATTGTTTTAATTATAAACCAGCCTAGTATGTTCACTTCATGGCTCATATTGTAACATTTCCGGCTATCATGGGGTGCCTTGTCCTGTTTTTTTTTTTTTGGCCCTGTCGCTCCTGATTTTTTCTGAAAAAATCTGAGAAACAACAGATTCAATTGGTGTGGCCTAAACAGGAATTGTGGTGACCTGCTGTGGCTTTACAGAGATACTAATAAGCATTGCCTGAATATCCATACATGTACATCTATGCATCACAGACTTCTGTCTGCAGTACAGTGGGTATCAGCTAGGTGCCCTCGGTGCTATTGTGATCTCTGGATCATGATCTGGAATTTACCTATGTGAGAAACAAGAGATTGTGAGAGGGAGCTGCTTTGTCTTCGATGTGGATGGTTAAAAATAGTAAGGCCAAATGGTGAACAGACATAACTTTACTATTTTACTATCAAAAAGTAAGAGATTTTCCAACTAAAAGTTGAGCAGTGTAGAATGTATCATACTTTTTTGCCATGACTACTTTTACTTTTTTTTACATTTATTTCATCATTAACATGCCTAGGTCATCCTCCTTCGCAGGGCTAAAATCCTCCGGTTCCTTCCTTCGGGTTTTAGCCCTGCTATTTACCGCTGACAGTTTGACTTTTGGTGACGTCACTAATAAATAATTCATGAGCTTGCCTTATTTGGCACAAACCAATCAGTGCCAAGATTACAACTTTACAAAATGGCGGCGCGGTAGAATAACAACAACAGAGAAGCATGGAGCGTGCTGAGGGGGGAGGAACCAAGATTTGCTTGTTTTGTGGGAAGGGGGTCGTTCCAAAAAGTTACCGCTCGCTGTTTTCAGTTCACGTGACCTCCCTTCACGCACAGATCCGGCAGATTTTGCACGTGACACCTGACAAAAAAGTCTGGACGAGGAAAGGGCTGTCAAGCGCCATCTGCCGCGAGTGCTTTGCAAAACTTAACCGGCTGGCCAAGACGGATGTCGGGGGGCTTGCCCTAACTCTGTCTCGGCTTTGGCCAGGGCTTTGGCCGCTGCTGGGAAGCCCATATAGCACAGGCTCTTCCCTCCTCCTGTCCGCACACTCAGAAAAACGTCTCTGCCATCAAGCAGCGCCCGTAGCGTCGACTGCTGATGCTCACGAAGCCGCTCGACTCCAAATAAATCTTGCACGGCTCGCACGAAACTGCTAGTATCTGTAATAGCCGCCATCTTGGCCTGTCCCAACATGGGAATGTAAGACGTAACCTGATTGGCTAATAGGTTCCCAGCGACCTTTGCGGTTTTTGCGCAAAGCTCGGTGCGCAAATTCTCTGATTGGCTGACAGCAGTTTGGCGGTGACGTCACCAAAAGTCAAACTGTCAGCAGTAAATAGCAGGGCTAAAACCCGAAGGAACCGGAGGATTTTAGCCCTGCGAAGGAGGATGGCCTAGGTGGCCCCTTCAACTTATAAAAGTTGATATCCAAGGGGGCCCAGTATGTACGGGCAAACATGTTACACTCCGCGTGGTGGAGACTACGGAGGACGACATTCAGTTTAATAAGATCCGTTGTATCGGAAGACAAGTTTTAAGTCATACCAATAATTTTCTATGTCTTATAAAACAAAGCAACAAAGTCTGTATCTGAACTTACAAGCCGGCATGTTCTGGACCTCTGCTGTGACGATGCAGCTGATGCCCAGGTTAGCCAGAGCTCCTCGGATCAGCCCACAGGGAAACGCTAGGTACTGTGGACAGAACAGTAGGTTAGCTACTTTGGACACAACTAAAGGCTAGGTACTGTGGACACAACTAAAGGCTAGGTACTGTGTGGACACAACTAAAGGCTAGGTACTGTGGACACAACTAAAGGCTAGGTACTGTGCGGACACAACTATAGGTTAGCTACTGTGGACACAACTAAAGGCTAGGTACTGTGGACACAACTAAAGGCTAGGTACTGTGTGGACACAACTAAAGGCTAGGTACTGTGGACACAACTAAAGGCTAGGTACTGTGTGGACAGAACTGAAGGCTAGGTACTGTGTGGACAGAACTAAAGGCTAGGTACTGTGTGGACAGAACTGAAGGCTAGGTACTGTGTGGACAGAACTGAAGGCTAGGTACTGTGTGGACAGAACTGAAGACTAGGTACTGTGTGGACAGAACTGAAGGCTAGGTACTGTGTGGACAAAACTGAAGGTTAGGTACTGTGTGGACAGAACTGAAGGCTAGGCACTGTATGGTGAGACTTGATGGCTAACGGCTAGTGGAAAGGATGAAAGAGATTCGGTATGCAGCTCAAATAGGTTTGGTAACCAGGTTAGGAAAATTGGTTTATAAAGTAAGAAGTACAGCCTTACATTTGGTGCAGCCTCCAGATACTGTTTACTGGCCGAGATCTGTGTAAGAACTCTGCATCTGTTGTCCTGTAGAACATACACACCCTGGAAGGAAGACAGACACCTGTCAATTACTGTCAATCACTGTCAATCACACCTGTCAATCACTGTCAGGCTTGTGCTACATGTATGTAAGCTTGGAAGGACAGGCAGGAAAGTTGCATCATTATTACAAAATGTTTGAATTAGTACTGACAACCAATTTGACAGTATCTTATAGAAACAATAAATAATCTGCTGCAGGAATTTTGCCAATGACTCATAACTTCTACAAAAAGATCTGAACACCCTGGAAGAGTGGCATGTCCAACAAGGGTTAACTTACTTGCATACATGTCACCTGTAACTTGTAAGACCAAACATAGAATATGCTGTGTCAGTATGGGATCCATACACAAAGAAAGACAAAGATAAACTAGAAAGGTACAGAACCAAGCTGCAAGATTCTGCACGGACAACTGTGAGTATGAGTCATATATATAATACCAATGACTTTAAAAATGGTACATGCTGCTTTCTCTGCTGAGCACTAAAGCATTTGGGAAAATGTGTGGGAGTTAAACACACACAAATACCAATGGAAAAGCCCCTACTGTAATGTTTGCGGTACTGTGTGGCCCAAGGACTACAGAAATGGAGATGATTTGATTTTTTTTTAATTTTCTTAGTTTGCACATTACTAGTAAACAAAACAGACTTACAAAACAAGGATAAAAACAGGTGCAGGAGGAGGGGAGAAGCATGGAATGCTTATACAAGGGCCTCCTCCTCTAAACTATACAAAATCAAATATAATCAATAAATGGAAATAATACAATAGAAAAGGGAAATAATACAATAAAGATAATCAAATATTATACGGTATAAATTAATGACAATGAATTAAGGTAATGTAGGTTATAAATACAGTGATAAATTCAGTGCAATAATGATGATAATAATAATTATTATAAGTTGAAATAAGAAAGGACACTATGAAACTATTCCAGGGGGCTAGGTTGGTTTATCAGATGGTTTTTCAGAGCTTGTTTGAATGGTGGAAAAGACAAACTTTACTAGTAGAGATCTTTAGGGTTGGTGGTAGATTATTCCATAAGGTGACACATTTTTATTTGACAGACATTTGGGCACCACTCTATGTACTATCAAAAACACAAGAGGCTTGTATTTAACCTCCTTGTATTTAACCTCCTTTGTACTATACATGTACTTTAAGGTGTCAGGAAAGATGTTTGCCTCACCTGATGGTTTGTTCTGAGGTTGTCGACCTGCTTCTTGTAGACGCTCGTCCAGAAATCCTTACAGATGAACTTCATGATGTCCAGCTCATCCTTAAACCTGGAGCTGTCTCGGGTAAATCTGGCAAAAAGGCAAAAAAACTCATCAATGCTGTCAGAGGATTGTTAGAGGCTAACTCGATGGTAAGGAGAACAATAAGTTTGAATAACATTCAAAACAGGTATAACTAATAACTGATGTTTGGACCTCCTGTTTGTGTTGGAACATTTGACAAGCTAAATTCAAAAAGTGAGCAAAAAACCTGCCGTACGTTTACTGTCAAAATACAATGAATGTGGTTTTAGTGTCAAACTGCAGCGCAGAACACTACCATTTTAAATGTATCTGTCTCAGCACACATAGTGTTCACAGTTATGTACTAGTATAGTTTTGGGGTTCACAGCAAAAGGTAAGATAACAAAAGTCATGCACATTCAAGTAGAATAGTTACCAAACTTAGGAAATTCCCCATAACAAAGATAACGTTACACATATTATAACGTTACATTGTAAAAAAAATGCATACTAGCAAGGACACTATAATGTCAATTGATACTAGTAAGAGTGAGAGCTGTAGCATTGAGAATGGAATATTTACAAAAAATATTAAACAGGAATGAAAAAAGAAGTGTGTGAATTAAACCCCATATAAGTTAAACAACTCATCAGAAGTTTTGATCACGAGTATTTTTTGTTGAACACTAAATTTTGCTGTACCCACCTTTCTGCCAGACTGTGCCCCACCCGGTAGCCCATGTTCTCCAGGATCGGAATGCATTTCTCCTGTCAAGGAAACAGCCGCAGATAAAAACTTAGACAGAACACTGATTCTGGATTTCTGTTCCCAGGGCCATATAACAGTTATACATTATCTTATGCCGAAATCAAAGCAGGCTGTATTTCGGTAGATAAATAAATAAACTTGTAAACTTGTATTTCACCCTGCAAGAATAATATTTTCTTCATGTGTATTCCGGTGTATTCCGGTAATAGACGGACCCTTTGACTGAAGGAAAACCACAGCCTTCTGTAATTTTGATATCATCTTCTCTCTCTTTTCTTTTGCCCAACATCATACAGTAGTAATGATGACTCTGGCATGCCAGAAGTGCACTGCTGTTGACAGTTGTGTATGATGCGATGTTACATGTAGGATGATGCTGCACATAAATTATCCAGTCTGAGACTCGTAATCCTATGTGTAAGACCGTAGACTCGGTCGGGTTATTATGTTAACAAATATCTGACTGGAGTTATAACGTTAGCATTGTTACCTCGTCTGCCGTCTTGAAAAGGTAAGAAACAACTTCCATGTGAAGAAACTCAAATAGGGCTTCGTCCGCCATTTTGACTACATGTCAGAGATGTATCAACATCGCCACCTATCGGTTTAGCTCAAAACTCCAAGTACTATGCTGACGCCCGAGTGGGGTCTACCACATAGAGGGGAATAATTTGACTTGTTGTGTCGCATTGTACAACGTTTCATTAAAATGCTTCCATAAATTACTGTTTAGAAATTTTCAGAGGAATATGAGTTTTTTTTCTCAAATAGATATTTCACCTTTGCTGTTCATTTAACGTCCCAAAACATATAATCATATTATGCCATCCCTCCGTACCGTGTGGCATCGTCCGAATTACCCTGTACGCTTTGCGTGACCCAGCGGCGTGAGGTTTGTCCACGATGGCGGTGGTCGTCAGATCTTTGCAGGATCAAATCAGTAAAGCCAAAGAAAACCTGAAAGGCGTCGATGAAAACATTAAAAAGTTGATCGGCAGGGACCCCAGCGATGCCAGGTAAGATCTGGAACCATTTTGGGCAATTTTAGATCAAATAGGTTGTGTCTCCCCAGGTCTGTGCCGAACCGAACCTGCTGACCGACAACATGCATGATAATTATGGTACAGGCCAGGGAGGGAGGGGGGTAAATCATCCGTTTGTTACTAACGTTACCTTCATGAGCTCTGTTGTGTATAGATCTACACTGTATCTATCTTGTTCTCTGCGTCGAAAAGATTAACTCCACGTCCATCTAATCCAAACAACACACTCGAGTTTGTTTTATAATGACTATAATATTCATAATAAGTAATAATTTATGAAGGAAATTTTTATGTCTCTTTTTGAAGCCACTTAAACGGAACCAGATCTTTTTTTTAACTTTTCCGTGTCCGCCACGGCACTTTATTAAATACATGTACAAATGTTCATTGATACATGTATGTCATAAGTTAACAAATTCTTAGTGTACAAAGTGTACTCGTCTTATGTGTATATATATGGAACAGTAATAAAGGAAGGTACTAACTACATCGTCTTTCTGTAGTTGTCTGTGGTCATCTTTATGTCTTAACCAGGACACATAGATGGCATACTTAGCAGAACCAGATCTTTGCGCAGCCAAGTTTTGGCCAAGATCTGTAGAGAACAGAAGTTGTCTATAACTGTTTAAGCTGAGTTGGTACTGTGTACTTTGGACTACTAGTACTAGTGCGTGATAAATTTGTAAGAAGACAACTTGAAATAAATTTATCTATATAAATTAATCTCAGGACGGCTGGGTGGCCCCATTCAACCTACAATGAAAAAAAAATCACTTTATGAAAGTAGGAAGAAGTCCCCAAATCCATTTGACACATTTGTTTGCTTGTTTGTTTGTTTGTTTGTGCAGTGCCGTGGGTGGCCCGGGAAAGGGAGTTTGTAATAGCCGCCCTGTAACTGATGTTTGTTTGTTTGTTTGTTTGTTTGTGCAGGCCTGGTGCGGTGGGTGGCCCGGGAAGGAGAGTGTCCCTGGGAGGAGCTGGTCCCGGAGTCGGCCGCGGCCGTGGAGCGGGATTCAGGTACACTCACTAACTCACTAACATACACACAAACACACATACAAACTCACTAACACACATACAGGTACTGTACAACACAAACTCACTAACTCACTAACATACACACAAACACAAATGCAAACTCACTAACATACATACACACTCACTAACACACACACACTTCAGGTAACTCACACACACAGACAAACTCATGCACACAGACAGACTGACTCATGCACGGACAGACAGATGTACTCACAAACACTTCAGGTAACACCTGTACTCACACACACAGACACATACATGTAGTACACACACGCACAAACACACACACACTTCAGGTAACACCTGTACTCACATACACAGACACATACATGTAGTATACACACTCACAAACACACACACACTTGAGGTAACACCTGTACTCACATACACAGACACATGCATGTAGTATACACACTCACAAACACACACACACTTCAGGTAACACCTGTACTCACACACACAGACACATACATGTAGTATGCACACTCACAAACACACACACACACTTCAGGTAACACCTGTACTCACATACACAGACACATACATGTAGTATACCACACCTCAACAAACACACACACACTCAGTACACTGTACTCACATACACACACACACTTCAGGTAACACCTGTACTCACACACACAGACACATACATGTAGTACACACACTCACAAACACACACACACTTCAGGTAACACCTGTACTCACATACACAGACACATACATGTAGTACACACAAACACACACACACTTCAGGTAACACCTGTACTCACATACACAGACACATACATGTAGTATACACACTCACAAACACACACACACTTCAGGTAACACCTGTACTCACATACACAGACACATGTAGTACACACACTCAGAAACACACACTTCAGGTAACACCTGTACTCACATACACAGACACATACATGTAGTACACACACTCGCAAACACACACACACTTCAGGTAACACCTGTACTCACACACGCAGACACATACATGTAGTATACACACTCACAAACACACACAAACTTCAGGTAACACCTGTACTCACACACACAGACACATACATGTAGTATACACACTTACAAACACACACAAACTTCTGGTAACATTACTAAAAAGACTTTTTTCCGCATATCTACACTAGTGCAGATACAGGAAAAATTGAATATTCCTTGCATCAAAAAATTGTATCTGCACCACTCACACTTTGAAGAATATCACTGAAGAATATAGACTGGTGCCAGACCAAGTTACACGTTTCTTGTTAAGACCTAAACCCCTTGTGTTGTGCTGATTTCCTGTTACAGTACTTCCCATCTAAAACCTTGTGTTTGTTGTGCTGATTTCCTGTTACATTACTTCCGACCTAAAACCTTGTGTTTGTTGTGCTGATTTCCTGTTACATTACAAATGTACTTCCCATCTAAAACCTTGTGTTTGTTGTGCTGATTTCCTGTTACATTACTTCCGACCTAAAACCGTGTGTTTGTTGTGCTGATTTCCTGTTACATTACTTCCCATCTAAAACCTTGTGTTTGTTGTGCTGATTTCCTGCAGGCGGGAGTCCGAGGACTGGGGTGAGGGGCCGGCGGTCAAGCGCCGAGGAGAAATCGGACTGGGCGCCAGGTGAGAGCTGTCTCTCTGTCCTTCTGTCTGTCTGTCCTTCTGTCTGTCTGTCCTTCTGTCTGTCTGTCCTTCTGTCTGTCCTGTCTGTCTGTCCTTCTGTCTGTCCTTCTGTCTGTCTGTCCTTGTGTCAGTCTGTCCTTCTGTCTGTCTGTCCTTCTGTCTGTCCTTCTGCCTGTCTGTCCTTCTGTCTGTCTGTCCTTCTGTCTGTCCTGTCTGTCCTTCTGTCTGTCTGTCCTTCTGTCTGTCTGTCCTGTCTGTCTGTCCTTCCGTGTGTCTGTCCTTCGGTCTGTCTGTCCTTCCGTCTATCTGTCCTTCTCTCTGTCCTGTCTGTCTGTCCTTCTGTCTGTCATGTTCTAGTACTCCCTTTCCTGTCCTTCAGTCTAAAGCAGCAATAAATACAAAATAATACTTCTCCATCTAAGTCTGTCTGGATGTTAGTCTTACCGGGAACCAGCTGCAGCTGCATACTTTATTACTTCAATGTTTTTCTTCAGTGTCGTGTTATCTATTATTAAGATCTACCAGTATTCTTGATCATGATTTTCTATACGTTGTTCCCCAGGGACCGGCGGGTGGTGACGTACCGCGGGCGTTAGTGACATGTGTTTGTTTGTTTGTTTGTTCCCCAGGGACCGGCGAGTGGTGACGTACCGCGGGCGCGGCCGCGGGCGAGGACGGAGGGACGAAGAGGACGATGAAGATGAACTTCCTCACAAGGTCAGATTCAGACTCTATTTATTGCTCACAGCTGTTATAACAGCCGAGATTGTTATAACAGAAATGCAGTTGTAAACACTCGACAACGCCAGCATGTGCACTGCCTTTGTGGGCTGTGGATGTAGCCATGTGGATGTAGCCACGTGGATGTAGCCATGTGGCTGTAGCCATGACATGTCATTTTTGTCCTGCTGCAGCCGTCCCTAGCGTCCTCCGTGATCCCCACCCCAACCGCCAAAATGACGCGTAAGGACTCCATCGACCAGCTGAACAAGGACGAGCAGAGCAAGAAGAGGTTGGTTAGGACAAAGCTCGGTACAAAGTGATGTCAGTAAAGCTGGAGGATTTGTACATGTCCTTCATGTGTGTGTTGAGCATCACCAGTTCTTGTGTGTTGGACTGGCCGACATAGAGGAAACGCTCATTTTTATTTTGTCAAACACAGGAAGTGATTTTATTTGCTGAGAGAACAGGTGTACATTTAGATGTGTCTGTCCTGTACCAAGGTGTTAATGAACGAATGACTGTCATGAGTAATTAAAAGAATATCACTGCCACAGACTGAAATGCATACTCTTTTTACAGATCATATGAAAGTAAGAAAAAAGCTAAGATATTTACAAATTACAAATTGAACATGTTGATAGAAATTATTGACATTCAGTGCTGAAACTGCTGATATGGAAACCTTTGCCAACAGGAACAGGAGAATGTTTGGGATGTTGATGGGGACTCTACAGAGGTTCCGCACAGAGGAGGTGTCAAAACAGCAGCAGGACAAGGTGAGACATGGGGGTCTGTATGGGAGGGTACAGGTGGGACATGGGGATCTGTATGGGGTGGGGGATACAGGTGGGACATGGGGGTCTGTATGGGGAGTACAGGTGGGACATGAGGGTCTGTATGGGGGTACAGGTGGGACATGGGGGTCTGTCTGGGGGGTACAGGTGGGACATGGGGGTCTGTATGGGGGGTACAGGTGGGACATGGTCTTTTTCTGGCCCAGGAGCGTCGGTGCTCGGAGATCGATAAGTACTTACAATACCTCCCTTTCTGTCCCAGGAGCGTCGGCGCTCGGAGATCGATAAGTACTTACAATACCTCCCCTTTCTGTCCCAGGAGCGGCGGCGCTCAGAGATCGATAAGTACTTACAATACCTCCCTTTCTGTCCCAGGAGCGTCGGTGCTCGGAGATCGATAAGTACTTACAATACCTCCCCTTTCTGTCCCAGGAGCGGCGGCGCTCGGAGATCGATAAGAAGCTGGAGGAGAAGGTTGAGGAGGAGAAGAAGGCTGCGGCCGCCGAGAGACAGGTTCTCTTCAAGGAGCGTCGCGCCAAGCAGGCGGAACTCAGGAAACTGGAGTACAAGCTGGAGCTCGCACAACTGGTCAGTATAACTCGCACAACTGGTCAGTATAACTCACACAACTGGTCAGTATAACTCGCACAACTGGTCAGTATAACTCGCACAACTGGTCAGTATAACTCACACAACTGGTCAGTATAACTCGCACAACTGGTCAGTATAACTCACACAACTGGTAACCATTCATGTAGTATATTAACAAGCTGGAGCTCGCACAACTGGTCAGTATAACTCGCACAACTGGTCAGTATTACTCGCACAACTGGTAACCATTCATGTAGTATATTAACAAGCTGGAGCTCGCACAACTGGTCAGTATAACTCGCACAATTGGTCAGTATAACTCACACTGCTGGTCAGTATAACTAAGTCTTGCACAACTGGTCAGTATAACTCACACAGCTGGTCAGTATAACTCGCACAGCTGGTCAGTATAACTCGCACAACTGGTCAGTATTACTCGCACAACTGGTCAGTATAACTCACACTGCTGGTCAGTATAACTCACACAACTGGTCAGTATAACTCGCACAACTGGTCAGTATAACTCACACTGCTGGTCAGTATAACTCACACAGCTGGTCAGTATAACTCACACAGCTGGTCAGTATAACTCGCACAGCTGGTCAGTATAACTCGCACAACTGGTCAGTATAACTCGCACAACTGGTCAGTATTACTCGCACAACTGGTCAGTATAACTCGCACAACTGGTAACCATTCATTATAACTCACACAACTGGTAACCATTCATGTAGTATAACAAGCTGGAGCTCGCACAACTGGTCAGTATAACTCGCACAACTGGTAACCATTCATGTAGTATAACTCACACAACTGGTAACCATTCATGTAGTATAACTCACACAACTGGTAACCATTCATGTAGTATAACTCACACAACTGGTAACTACATTCATGTAGTATAACTCACACAACTGGTAACCATTCATGTAGTATAACTCACACAACTGGTAACCATTCATGTATAACTCACACAACTAGTAACCACTCATTTATTATAACAAGCTGGAGCTTATAATTCATGTTGGTGTGTCAGTTTGTGTGTGGATTTGAAAAGTCAGAGATGTAACTGTTCTGGAAAATGGACACTATATACAACACAATGTAACCAAATAATATATACACCAAAAAAACAGTACTCAAGCAACACTGGATATGATTTTAAAAACGGTCAGACATTTCAGTTAGTATCCACTAGCTTTCGTCAGTGACTCTGAGAGACCAGAAAAAAAATGCAGGTTAATAGCACAAACTATTGATTAATATGCAAATAAGTGAATAGAATTATTTTGTGAAGAATTATTTGCTTGAGCTGCAGTGATTGTTTGTTGTTTGACTGCAACGTTTGTTTGTTTGTCCTGCAGCAGGAGGAGTGGGACCGACACAACGCTCACCTGATGCAGTTTATCCAGGTCAAGGCGTCTCCCGCCCTCTTCTGGTGCCCCAAGAAGCACAGCAAGGAAACCTTACAGCTGCTCAAGGACTCACAGGATAGGTTAAAAAGTAAGACTTTAAACTTCTGCTTCAACCAATCAAGTAAACTTTTGTAACCTTTCTGTTCGTGTGTGTCCTTTTCAAAAGGCTTCTATACTTAAGTAGAGTCAATTCCGCGTCACCGAGTGGGTTGTTATTGTCATTATTTAGAAATGTTTTGAATTCTTTGTAATTGTTTGTCTAAGAAATTTCATAATTTGGAAATATTTTGAACATCTTGTCAATATTCTAAATAATTCCCTGGTTTTCTAAAACGTTTGAAATATTCCTGATATGGATTATGACATTTCCAATAGTTTCTAAATATTTGTAACAGCACTCTACCATTTTTTACCATTATTTGGAATTATTTCTAACATTTTGTAAATAGGTCAGTGGGATGGGAAGGAAGTAATTCACACATCCCTGTGAAGTACAGGGTAGACTGCCTGGGTGTCAGGCATTGATGCCTTACAACAAAAGAGCCACCAGTGTCCAGCAGTGAAATCTAAAAATATACAGAAGACTACAGAAGAGTAGGATTAGCACCTACTTTTATGGGGGCAATTACCCACATCTACCATTTGTCATTTGTTTGAAATAGTTCTAAATATTTCGAACAGTGAAAGAAACAAATGGGTAGTTCAAATTTATTCTAAATAAAGAGATTTTTGTACAGTCACTTTCAAAATGTTTCAGAAATATATAAATGAATTCAAATATATTCAAATTTTCATTTTCAAATTTTTGAAAAATTTAGAACTTTTGTTACTAGTGTATTCTTTCTTCGAAATAATTCAAAAGTATTAGAAACATGCAGAAAAAACCCACTCGTTGACGCGGAATGGACCCTATTAAGGCTGATTTATTTTTAAATCATCACGATTAAGTAAACTTGTGTGCAACTGTGACAGCTAGAACCTTTTTCTTTCTCTGTTTTCTGACTTAAAATGTGAAAATCTGGCTCCCATGTGTTCCTCTCAAGAAGCTTGTCAAGTTTCATTCTGAATTATCAGTGTTTAGTATGAATGGCGATGTCTTCATTTTTAACAAGTAACGTGCTACAGTAGCCATTCATCCCTTGTTTCTGTTCTCTCCACAGAGGTATTCGATAAGCGTAGGAAAGATCTGGAGGAAGAGATCAGTGTGATGGAGGTAACGACTGAGTCAGGTAAAAGCCAGGGGGGTGCGGAACCCCGGGAGGGGGTGTGGAGGCCGGGGAGGGGGGTGTGGAGGCCGGGGAGGGGGTCCAGAAGCTGGGCAGGGGGGTGCGGAAGGGAAGGGGGCAGCCCCAAACGTGCAGGACCTGGACGACCTTCCCGAGGACACTGGGATAGAAATCGGGGAGGAGGAGATGGACACGGGTGTGGCAAAGGATGATGGGAAGGAACTGGTGCATGATGGGAAGGAACCAGAGGATGCTGGGAAGTTGCATGATGGGAAGAGCAGAGGTGAGGAGGGCCAGGGCAGAAGTAGGAAGGAGTCTGGGAGGGAGAAGGGCAGAAGGAGGGACTCGGAACGGAAGCGGTCTCAGTCGGGGCAGGAGGCTGACAGGAAGCCGTCTCAGTCGGGGGAAACGGGGAACAGCTCTGAGAATCCAGTTGGGAAGGAGTCTTGTGAGGTTGGGAAGGAGTCTTGTGAGGTTGGGAAGGAGTCTTGTGAGGTTGGGAAGGAGTCTTGTGAGGTTGGGCAGGAGTCTTGTGAGGTTGGGAAGGAGTCTTGTGAGGTTGGGAAGGAGTCTTATGAGGTTGGGAAGGAGACCTGTGAGGTTAGGCAGGCGGAGGAGCCTGATGTTGAACGGTCGGGGGCGAATGTGGAGGCAGCCATGGCGGGACCAGACACTTCGGAGGAACCGATGGTGACGGAAGCAGCGACAGAAGGGGACGAGAAGGGAGCAGAGAAGACTGAGGATTGGCCGACAGGCTCGGGGGAGGGGGACTGGGAAATGGTGGAGTAAGGGGGGGGACTGGGAAATGGTGGAGTAAGGGGGGGACTGGGAAATGGTGGAGTAAGGGGGGAATGGGGGGGGGCAGTTGGATACTAGGGGTGTTGTATAGGTAGAGTCGAGTTGTGTCAGCTCAGGTATCAGTAATTCTGTGTGAGTCGTACAGATGACCCGTGGTCCTGTGGGGTTAAATTTGCAACAGTGTTCATTTTTTTTTTGCTGTCGGTCCTTGCAGACAACATCAAGGGGTTTTTTTGCCATTTTTCTTGACATTACGGTAACTTCCTAGCCAGGGGTGTGTGCTGTGAGTCTGTTGGCAGGTTCTTGCTGTTGTACAGAACAGAATCTGACGGGTTTGTCTCCGACTGGTTCTTGGCTTCATCCTGGGACCGAGTCTGACATGAGGGATGGCATTTCAGTTGGTCCATGTGATGGATCCATGGACTAGCTTCTGTTTCTAAGGGCTCTTTTGTTCTTCCTAAAATACCTGGCTGTGGACAACGTTTCTATCCAGCTTTACATAATCATATTGCAGCTTGGGCTGGGCTTGGCATCTCAGGGTTGGGAAGCATTGTTCCTGTTGGTCCGTTTGTAGGAATCGCTCAGTGGTCCATATGTAATAAGGGCTGTGGGGAGGGGGGCACATCTGTTGTTCTTTCATGTATATAAGATGTTGTGCTGCCATTGTCAGCAATGCATGTAGAGGTAGAGTTTTGCTGTTAAGTGTTCCTCCTAAAGGGAGACTGTTCAGCAGATTTTTTTACCAAGCGAAGTATTGTAAGAATTGTTTTCTTTTCAGGCTAAATCATTGTTGTGATTTTAGATACTGTTCTTAGGTAAAACTTGCCATGTTCCAAGTCAACACCTGATGGACCTGGGAACAATTTGTAGATACTGTAGTAGATTCCAAACAGCTGACACTGTCCATACGTAAAAAGGAATGTCATAATTTTAGTGTTTAGGAAAGGCAGTTTATATCCCTGGTGGTTGAATGTCAACATTTTAAGAGCTGGTGTATGATTGAAACACTGCTTGTAAATTCAGTTGTTAAAAGTGATGAACTAGATCCATAATGTATGTAAGTCTGAAGTTCACCAATAAAGGTCCTAGAAGATTTATATGTTTTCAATGGTAATGCTTGAAGCTGTGTGTAGATTAAGACCTTAGTGTTTGGAGAGACCGTAAGCAGTGGCTATTGTCTGTGTGTGTGTGTCTGTGTGTGTAAGTGCATATGTGTGTGTGTGTGTGTGTGTGAATGAATGAATGAATGATACTTTATTTCCGTGTCGTGCGCTATCCCGCGCCCAGCCCGTGTGGGCTTATACGACACCGATTCAATAAATTATACATAAACAAAAGACGATCAAAGGTACAGATAACAGAATCCAAACAAAAAAAAGAACGCAAATAAAGGTAGGATATATACAATAATGGTGGACAAATAAGTGAACTCATAGCAGATCGTAAAATTAATACAAATAAACAAATCTGTACATAATGAACCAAGAGTTCACAAAATAAATACAAGTACAAAATGGTAAATAACACATAATAAGAGAAAACAAACATGCAGAAGTAACAAAAAGTGACAACTGTTGATGTGTTATGAATACAGGTATTTTCTTCTTTTCCCCCACGCTCGATAAATGAAAGTTGCTAGGTCAGATACACCCTCGTGAAAGAGCCACTTAATTCTATTTTCATCTCTTTCCCATATGATGTCAGGTGATTTTGTATAAATTTTACGAAACATATTTTCTCGAAGATCGTCATAAAAGGGACAGTAAAAAAGAAAATGTGTTTCGTTTTCTACTTCATCCAGGTCACACATGGTACAGATTCTATTTTCCTCAGGAATTCCCTGGTACCGTCCAGTTTCAATATTGATAGGTAAAATACCAGCTCGCAGCTGCGCACACAGTGATCTTTGGCGTTTGGGGAGACACATAGTTACATATTTTTCTATACAGTAAGTATCTTTAAACAGAGCACATGTTCTAAGTTTAGGTTCAAAAGTACTTTGGTGCCCAGTCTTGCTTGTATGTGTGTGTGTAAGTGCATATGTGTGTTTGTGTGTGTGTGTAAGTTCATGTGTGTTTGTGTGTGTGTAAGTGCATATATGTGTGTGTGTGTGTACATATGTGTGTGTGTGAGTGCATATGTGTGTGTGTGTGTGTGTGTGTAAGTGCATAATGTGTGTGTGTGTGTAAGTGCATATGTGTGTGTGTGCAGGTGAATGCATATACATGTATATCTGTGTGTGTGCGTGCATATGTGTATGTGTGTGTGTGTGTGTGTAAGTGCATGTGTGTGTGTGTGTGTGTGTAAGTGCATATGTGTCTGTGTGTGTGTGTGTAAGTGCATATGTGTGTGTATGTGCAGGTGAATGCATATACATGTATATCTGTGTGTGTGAGGCTCATCTGTATAAGATGTAGGAGATGTAAAATGAAAAGCAGAGTGCTTCAGACTGAGGTGTAACATCCTTTATTTTCTCAGAATGAGCAGCAGAACATAAACTGAAAGTGTTGTGTAGTCATGAACTGCAGTGTTGCACCCTTAACATCACCACAATAAGGCCACACCAATTTAATTTGTTGGTTCTCGGATTTAAAAAAAAAATATGTAGCGACGGGAAAAAACCAGGTCTAGGCATCCTATTATAGCCCCAAATGCTACGATAGGAGCCATGAAGTCTACACAAAGGGCTGGGTTAATTTTTAACAATGAATTTTGAACTTTTATTCAAACCACTGCATTGATAGATGAAAAAAACTGCTGGGGGCAAAAAAATGAGCATATTTGAGTTGATTCAGAACCAGAATCTTTTTTTTTTTTGCAAGGCAGAAAAAAAAGTAAGAGGGAAATCCGAAAACCAACAAATTGGTGTGGCAAATTAAATTACTACTCAACTATCACTAACTTTACATTTATGACTTTTTATTGATTTTGAGAGTCAAACTTAAAGTTTTTATGAAATCTTTGATTCAAAGTAAAAGTCTCTATGGCTTGAAGGACAAAATGCAATAAAACAATGCAGTATCATCACGGAGAAACTTGCACCTGCTACAATCAATGTACAAGGCAGTTAACAATAACTCCCAGTCTGAGAATATATAAACAGCTTTCAGATGGATTGTGGCAAGCGAAAGTTCTCCTATAGAGGCCCTATCCTCTGGAACAGGTTGCCACATGATATAAAGACCTGCCTGTCCATGTCCACTTTTAAAATGAGAATCTGGACTGGACAATGACTGGACTGGACAATTTGTACTTTGTTATTTATCATTATTTATTGATGTTATTGTTTATTTACTGTTTTTCCTTTATTATTATTACCATTATCGTTATTTATTATATCCATATTTTACTGTTGGTGTAAAACAGGGCCCCATTGAAAAGAAGTGTAATCACTTAATGGGCCACCCTGTATAAAAATGACGGAAATAAAATAAGTACAAAATCTAACGTGCCAAGGAAGTAACCATCTATCCTAAAAATCAATAAACAAGCTTTTCACATCAAGCCTATTAAATTTTTTAAGCAGCAATGCTGTAAAAATATATTAAGCTCAATAAAACATAATACAATGTATAATGTTTAAAATGCAAAAAAAATCCAAAACATAACCAAAAATATCATACATGTTAGATGTACACATTTAGTACTAAATATACAGTAAAGCAGTATGTATTTGTACAGGTACATGTAGAAAATATATATTTATATATACTGCAACTTAACACCATGATTTCCTCCGTTAAATACAAGTACTTAATGTTAATTACCTTTATTCATACAAGGTCTTATGGTAAATATTTAGATTCATTCATTTCATCATTGAGCCAAAGTGTTTAAACATGTCGATTCAGGCGTGATTGTAATTTGTACCAATGGCCCTACTATTAATAATTTATATTGTTAACAGGCATCGGAATTAAGCTTTGTATGTTACGGCTGAGAGTTATGCTGTTGTTGTTACAAATAAATAAACCAATGAATGAAAGATTATACCTAACATGGCTCAAAGTTACATTGTCTTGCCCAGGTGCAATTACACTAACTTCTACTTATGCCAGGAGCCTTGTTAGCTTCAGTCTGCTCCCCAACATTGTTAACATGAGTAGTGCGTGTTTAGACTCGTATTAGAGTTAAAACTTTTGATCCAACATGAAGAAAGTTCTCTCACCTAGAGCTTTCGACCAGTCACTCTGGTCTTCCTCATGCTCAGTAGACTGACCCAGTGAGGCTTGTCATTGGGTCAAAGGTATCTCGTACATGTAGATGATGTCGGCCCCCATCGTGGTTGAGTAAAGGGTGATGGGCCCTGATGTAAATAGCCTCCCTCACCCCTCTCCGGAAATAGTCTTGTTCGTGTTGGATCAAAAGTTTTAACTCCAAACATGTAACTACCAACACAGATGAACTTTCATAAAAGTATGAGTAGTGCATCTTGGGGAAGTACAGAGCTGGGCTCCAGACTATTTCTACTTGGCACAAATCTGTGACAATTTTTATTCTCTTACCGGCATTATGTCTGTTTGGCAGAGTGCGTTGACAAAAGCTTGTTTGGCAGTGGGTTGATTCCCTTTATTAGCCTCAGGGCAGGTAAGAGTTGTGATACTGCATTTTGTATGAGTTTTTAATGCGTTCTTTCAATTGCCGGCCATCCTACAACCAGCCGCCGAGAGAAGGTTTGCCTCCGCATTAAAAACTGTAAAAACACAGTATCAAAACTGCCCCCCTACAGAGCCTCCACATCTCCTTATGTTGTACAGCTACCAGAATTTGCAGTTGAACATGCATGCCAATTCTGTCTTTGCTACCTGGGTGGGAATAGCAGAACCACTTTGCTACCTGGGTGGGAACAGCAGCTGTGCTACCTGGGTGGGAACAGCAGCCGTGCTACCTGGGTGGGAACAGCAGCGCTACCTGGGTGGGCACAGCAGCCGTGCTACCTGGGTGGGAACAGCAGCCATGCTACCTGGGTGGGAACAGCAGCTGTGCTACCTGGGTGGGAATAGCAGTGCTACCTGGGTGGGAACAGCAGTGCTACCTGGGTGGGAACAGCTGTGCTACCTGGGTGGGAATAGCAGTGCTACCTGGGTGGGAACAGCAGTGCTACCTGGGTGGGAACAGCAGCTGTGCTACCTGGGTGGGAACAGCAGTGCTACCTGGGTGGGAACAGCAGTGCTACCTGGGTGGGAACAGCAGTGCTACCTGGGTGGGAACAGCAGTGCTACCTGGGTGGGAACAGCAGCTGTGCTACCTGGGTGGGAATAGCAGAACCACCTTGCTGCTGAGTCCTCCCCCCACACCTTCCTCCGGCACGATGTACATGTCTGCCTCCTGCGCGCGGACGGGACACATCTCCACCAGCTGGGCGTTACTCTGGTGTAGGAGCTCGTACTTCCACAGGGCCAGCCGCCGGGACTTGCCCTGCCGCGCGTACAGGAACGCCTGGTGCACCCGGCTCCAGTCCAGCTTGGGGGCGGTCGTGTCCGGCAGCGCATGGTAAAGGTCACGGCAGTGGGGGTCGCTGTCCTGCTGGTACCCGTCCAGCAAGCCGCCCTGCCATTGGTCGATCCCCAGGATCAGCCCTACAAACAAACAAACAAACAAACATGGGGGAGTTGGTGAAGATCATCCAGGGCACGTAGTACCCGTAAGAAAGTAATTTAGTTGTTCCAACCTGCATAGATTTTTAATCAGCAGACGTTTCGGGTGTTGATATGACATCCTTTATCAGTACTAATGAAGTGAATGTTTACAAAAGAATTTTGGAAACAAGAACAAGAAGTTCTAAAGTTCAAGTTCTAAAATTGGTTCTCATTCAGAAAATTCCTTAAATTTGTAAACATTCACAAGTACTGATGAAAGGTGTCGGATCAACACCTGAAATGTTTGCTAATTAAAAATCTATCCAGTTTAAAAAGACTAAATCACTTCCTCACAGTTAATCATGGGAGAGGATATGGGCATGGTGGGGAATGTTTTGCTCTCCTCTCACAAATGTAGCTATAGTTTGTTGTATGCCTTTGATTCTACCAAAAAAAAAAACCATACGAAACCAAAGAAAAAAGATGTTTTCATAGAAAGCATCAGCATTTTAATAGGGTACAACTTGAAATTCATACAGTTTTCTTGAAAACTGTTGCATTGTTTTACTAACTTTGATTAAGTTGGAAAAACCAACCTCAATGATGAAAACAAAAGAGGAAAGATGTGATCAAAAAAGTCTACCTGGGATGGCTGCCCAGTGTGCCTTACCTGGGATGGCTGCCCAGTGTGCCTTACCTGGGATGGCTGCCCAGTGTGCTGTGCCTTACCTGGGATGGCTGCCCAGTGTGCCTTACCTGGGATGGCTGCCCAGTGTGCCTTACCTGGGATGGCTGCCCAGTGTGCCTTGTGTCCCCTCTTACAGATGGGTTCATGATTCCTGTCAGCATCATAGCTGCAGCTGGGTCAAGGGTCAGACTTGGATCATCAGGATTTGTCAACAGGCAGTTTTCCTTGGTCCTTCAACAAGCTGGCATCATTCTTAAAGATTTTAAATGTAGCAACCAAAGATCTGACCTAGAAAAGTGTATACCAGTGATGCTAATTTGTTCCATTGATTACCTTCGCCAAGAAGGTTATGTTTTCAGTAGCGATTTTCCATCTGTTTTTCCGTCTGTTTGTTTGTCTGTGAACAGCATAACTCAAGAAGCTTTATATGCATTGTCATGAAGCTTGGTAGGTGGGTAGGTCTTGATGAGACATAGAAATGATTAGATTTTGGGCCCCCTGGCGGCTTGTTCTGGAACTGCAAGAGCGTTAGTTGAAAAATCTTCGAAGAAGGATAACTCAAGAATGAGTTGACGGATTGTTGTGATTTTTTATGTGTAGGTAGCTTAAGTGATGCTTAACATAATCAGATTACAAGCATGCAAATCAGGCCCTAATTTGCATAATTAATGAGGAAATTCTATAAATCTGCTTCGTTCGATGATAGGACTATAAAACACATGTGAAATGTAATTGAGAACAAGGAAAACATCTGAGGATATAGGTTATGTAAATGAAGACCTAATTTGCATAATTAATGGGAAATTGTTATAATTTCACAGTTGTAACTGCTGGGAATTTCATACTTGCTGCATTTGGTTTAGGTGAACATCAATAAACAAAATTTATTCAAATCATGACCTCATTTGCATAATTTATGAGGAAGTGCTATAATAGCCTTTTTGTTAAGCTAAGGCTCTCATTGGGTGGAGAATATGATCAGCTGATATAATACATGCAAATAAGGCTCTTATTTGCGAAATCAATGATAAAGGTTGTATAATTCGTCAACCGGAAGGGTTAACATCATTTGGCGAAGGTATGAGATCGTGGAACTCTTGTTCATCATATTTCTATGGTTTCAATTTTTGTGGTGCACTGCAGACGACACAGAACATGACATAGAGGTGTACCTATCAAGACTAGCCCAAGAACTGCATCTGACGACACTCTAAATTCATTTTTCGGAATAGCTGTGCTGCTCCACTCAACCTAAAAAATTAGGGGCACAAACCTTTTTGGGGGGTACCATATAAAATAGAATACATGTGACTAGAATGTCAGCAATAACTAATTATGTTTCATTTCTAAAGTAAAGTACTACAACAATGATTTTATTATTTTTCTGACATTTTGATGTTAAGAATATGCTGTATACTACTGTAACTATACAATTAACATCTTTACATAATATATGTAATCCTAAAAAAATATGGTGCACCCACAGAAGTAAATTGTGTGCACAGCTCCAAATTTGGGTGCACTAAGGTGCACATGCAGCCAGTATTTCCAGCCTGTGAGAAGGATACGGGACCAGCGCAGGATAACCCTTCACCAGGTGCTGGATGATGTCCAGTCTGTGGTGCGGCATTCCTCCCTTCAGCACCGAACACCTGCACCCGAGCAGCTCCTCTGCCAGCTCGGCCATGTATGCAGCTGGCCATGCATGGGGACAATAATAAGTTAGCAAGTTTAATATACTGTTCCTTTTCCAATGCATGGGGACAATAATAAGTTAGCAAGTTTGATACTGTGTTAACTTTATACTGTTCCTTTTCCCATGCATGGGGACAATAATAAGTTAGCAAGTTTAATATACTGTTCCTTTTCCCATGCATGGGGACAATAATAAGTTAGCAAGTTTGGTACTGTGTTAATACTGTTCCTTTTCCCATGCATGGGGACAATAATAAGTTAGCACGTTTGGTACTGTGTTAATACTGTTCCTTTTCCCATGCATGGGGACAATAATAAGTTAGCAAGTTTGGTACAATACTGTTCCTTTTCCCATGCATGGGGACAATAATAAGTTAGCAAGTTTGGTACTGTGTTAATACTGTTCCTTTTCCCATGCATGGGGACAATAATAAGTTAGCAAGTTTGGTACTGTGTTAATACTGTTCCTTTTCCCATGCATGGGGACAATAAGTTAGCAAGTTTAATATACTATTCCTTTTCCCATGCATGGGGACAATAATAAGTTAGCAAGTTTGATACTGTGTTAACTTTATACTGTTCCTTTTCCCATGCATGGGGACAATAATAAGTTAGCAAGTTTAATATACTATTCCTTTTCCCATGCATGGGGACAATAATAAGTTAGCAAGTTTGGTACAATACTGTTCCTTTTCCCATGCATGGGGACAATAATAAGTTAGCAAGTTTGGTACAGTGTTAATACTG